TATATATATATATAGTATATATATCACCCACATGTTCGTTCATCAGAAATCCGTGGCGTCGATTGAAAAAGAAACGCGGTGTTATAAAAATGGAATTGCTGTGATCAGAAATTAAGGTTGTAAATATATACTCAGCAGTGGCTATATTACTCCTGCGAGCGTCGACTCTAGGTCATGGGAGCGAATCGAGCTGCGACTCAGTTATATATATATAATTATATACAATCAATATATATATCATACGAATTAGGTGACAGTGAATGTAACTGCGCAATGTGTTTCAACACGCCATTGTTGATGCATCACGCCATCATGCACGTGCGCAATTCTGGTCACTATATACAATGCTCACTGCTAAGCGAATATTAGCTGGATGCGATGTGAAAGCAACAGCACTGCACTCCGGTCTCAAATGCACTTGCGCCACCTCGCGTATTGTATACCATGACATAAGTTCTTCTTGTGACTCAATTCTGAAAAAACCCGGCAGTCACGCTACTTGTTAGAAAACTTAGCTATTTTTTATGAAGAGCAATGTCAATTTCGTTATTTCTTTATCAATCTTGCAATTATTTCTTTCGCGCCGTGGGCGAATAAATTAAAAATTGCACTTTATCGTAAAATGTAACTGCAATGTACGTAAAAAAACATTTAATTTTAAACTCGTGCATTTGCAACGTCCTAATTACTAACGGGGTTTGAATAGTCGTTCGGGAAAACCTCGCCAACGAAGAGCTTAGCCTGCGTGATCAGTGGAACATGCCCTGTCCAAGCAGATCCGCTGTCATCAACAGCCAGTCAGTTCTGATTCGGTTACATGGGAGGTCAACAAGATTCTGATCCCTTGACCACGATGCTGCTGCATCAGGCTACATCCAATCGGTGTCCATTCGCGCTCGCTCGTCAACTGGTTCAGACGTGATAATGCAGACGACCAGTCCAATAATGTCGGTATAATTAACCCGCCGGAACCAGCCCAGTGTCCATTCGCGCTCGCTCGTCAACTGGTTCATATGTGATACTGTAGACAACCAGTCAGATAATGTCGATAGTTAACTCGCCTGAGCCAACCCAGTGACCACGTCGTGGAGGTGTAGGCATTGCACGTGTGTTATAGCACGTCAGGAAACCTTCGATGACTCTCCTCGGTGTTTTTCGCCATTACAAAAACGCGGCTGTCAATTTTGATGAGATATTCTGTACTGGCTTCTCTAGTTCTAGACGCAATCGGATCTCATCACGAGCACACGTAGATAATGGTCACCTGAGGCTCCTGCTAAGCCGCTCATTTTAGTTGTCTTCGGCGTTTTTTTATGAGTAGGATTTCGATATGAGAAAAAATTCGCCGTTCGCTTTTCTTGTCGATGGATTGATTGATTGGTGCGTCTCATCGCGTGAGATCACGTACATGACGAGCTCGGCGTAAAATTTCACAAATTAGTAGCAGCTTATGGCGTGCCATTCCTGGCGACCGTCACGATATAAAACACCGATCATTTCACGTAGATCTTTGCGCGACAATAATTGTATTCTTCTCCTTCTTAATCTATTAGTTAGACGTCCGAGTTATATTTTTTTCAATTATGTTTTTACATGCTTTTTTACATACTATCCAGAACGCTTGAAAACACTTTCTTTATTTATATTGCGATTACTATGCTAGGATATTTCTCAATGAATGACGAAACGATGACGAAGCTTACCAACGTCAGTGGAAAATATTTTTAATGTCGTTCATATCTCTAGTCCTTCTTACAGTTAGGCTATTATTAATTAAGCGTAATAACTCATTGAGCAGTGTGCCCAAAAGGCATCCCGCTTACCGGATTATTGGCTTTTTCACCTGATCATCGTGGATTTACGTCACGACTTCGCGGAATAGCGATAATGAGGAACGTTGATTCACAGTAATGAAGCCCAGGTGCTATTCGTGTCATTATATACTTAACCAATTACCATACCTTTAGTCGATTAATCGTATTCATGACATGATCACGCCTCGGGTTATATTATGACGTATGTCGATGTCAGATCATACTATAACATATTATATTCCAAGCCTTGTTTCTTATCTGTGTACATGAAACGAATTTGTTTTAAAAATTAACGAAAAGCTAGAGCGCACGATGAATGGAATACGCAAACACGTATCGGGTTACAAAAATGTTGTCGAGTTACGCGTGAGAAATCCATATAACAGTCAGTTGGAAAATTGTACCCCAGTGGCTGAAACATGCAGTTGCAACTAAATGTAGAATCTCATCTTGGGCGCCGACACGCACTCTCTTCTACAGCTTCCCAACTCGTAGATGGACATCGTATATAACTCTGGCGAAACACGCATAAAGCTGAAGGCGGCACTGCTTAGAGTGGCCACGTTCAGATCGTTTTGGCGTACAGTCTCTGAACCGCCATTCGTTCTTTATTTAGCGACGCCATTTTTGTTCTCGGTTGTTTAATCACGTGTGAAGTCGTATAACGGTTCGGCGAGAGTCTAATTGGCGACGAGTGCGCTCACGGAGGCCCTATAGGTATCGATCAGGCATTAGCGCGATCGGGAG